TCCCCCAGGGTGCTCAGTGTGGAACGGGGAACCAGGACCTGGCCAGATGGCTCTCCACGTGGACTCCTCACTAATCCCAGGGATGTGCTGAGTGCTCCAGGTAGGTCCTTCCCCACCACCCCCAGGGCACTGACATCCCAGAGGCTGCCCACACACAGCAGCCCCCACATTTTGGGCTGCTCTACCCTCCCCCCCTCCGCACACCCAGTGTTGGATGCTCTCCTTAGCCAGCATCCCTTTCCCCGCATAGTGCAGCCAGAGGGGGCATGAAAAGGAAAGGACTGCGAGGAATGCTGTGACTCCGTGCTTCCTTCAAATGCACTAGTTCATGCTGTGCTTCACACTGGCTCCCACACTCGACCATTTCTTGCTCACTTCAGGAGCTTTCTCTGCCCATCCTTGCACAGTCTATCTGTTTTCTTTTCTTTCCCTGTATTTCCACACCCAAAACTTGACTCCCTTCGCTCCATGTCTATCCTGGACCCAGCACAGTCCTCACGACCCTCACTCCCCACCCCAGGCCAAGGTCTTAATTGCACTGTGATACAGATGTGGAATAAGGACTTTTCTCTCCAAGCTTTTGCAACACCACTAGAGGAACCTTCATTAGCTTCTTGTTGTGAGCAAGGCTGTCACCAGGATCTCTTTGCCATCCCTGGGGTTAATAGTGGAGGGGTGCAGAGAGCAGGGTGCATGTGTTTCTCTTGCCACTGAGGCTCTGTAGTCCAAGCAGATGTTCCCACGTTCCCTGGTTGCTGTATGGGACAGACTCTGACCCATATTGGGAGTCTCCATGGGTCTGTAATTGCCACCACATAGGCTCATTGGCAGGCGCTCTGCCTGCCCAGCAATGGTGGGAAACAGGAAGGGAGGGCATTTGCAGTATTTCTTGGAGAGGAAAAGTGCTGCAAGACACTGCTGCAGTGCAGAGGGTCAGTGTGGAGGTGAGGGGTAAAAATGAAGTGTATTTTTAAACCTATAGATTTCCTGTGGTTTGCATTTCCCACTGGTTTTAGTGTGGTGAGTATCTCTATTTGGAAAGGGAAGATGGTTTATCTTTAAGGAGGAAAAGAAATGGGCATTGAAACTCCACCTGAATCAACTTTGTAAAACTTCAGATAATTCTTTTTTTTCTTTAGCAAAAGGTTCCTGCTCCTTTTAGCCTGGCCCGGTCCTGAAGGGGCTCCCCTCCCCACCAGGCAGTTCCCTGTCCTGCAGCCTCCTTCCTTCTTTCTCTTGGACATGGACCTGCCCAGAGGGGTGGGCAATCGCAGTGAATGCTGACAGAGATTGGAGTCCAGGTCCTTGAATGCAAGGCAGCAAGGCTGACTTTTTCAACTTGCAACCCAAAACACCCCTGCTCTCTTATCATTCTCCTCCAACAGATGAGGTTGGTATCCTGGAGGAAGTCCCTTTTCTTTCCAGGCACCTCTTTTCCTGTCTGGTCTCAGCAAACAATAAAACATCAGTGGCTCAATCCTTTGGGTCTGAACTGGACCAGACTCCCTAATGCTTTCCTGTACTGAAAGACTGCGTATGCTAAGGGCAAAAGACTGAAGCCATGGCAATTAGCTTCAACGTGCAGGATAATATGCTTTCTGGATTCTCACACCTAATGGGGGGGGTCCCCTCTGTCCTCCTGTCCTTGCAAGGGCTGTGATAAATCCCCGGCGGAAGCCCCCGGCTCAGTCCCACACTGACCCTTGCAGCTGAGAGATGCTTTCCAGCTGCAGCATCCCTAATGCATCTGGGAGGGTGCTTATTGAGCATCCAGAGAGCTGGGATGGTGCAGGTGATGGGATCTCACCCCACTTTACAAGATGATATCATCCCATTTCAGCTTTATGCTTCACCCCTGCTGTGTCCTCCCTGTCTTCCAGGTGTAAGAGCATTGCATGTCCCCAGAGCATCTCCCATCCCTGCTGTCTCTCTGCAGGTCTCTGCCCAGAGCGCCTATGACAATGTATTGGTGGCTTTGCGTGGTGCTCTTCTCAGCAGTATGTCCCAGCTCCGGTAAGGCCCTTTGTCTGCTCCTCAGCTAGGTACTCCGTGTAGCACGGAGCACATGGTCTTCCAGGGATGCCAGGTTGTTTCTATTCACCTGAGCTGGGATCCTATCGCACTCATTATTTCTGTTGTTCTTTCTAGGTGGAGTCTCCCTCTCCAGTTCCCAGCAGCCAGTGGTGGGGGTGTTTGGCCAGGACATTGTCTTGCCCTGCCAGTTCTCACCCTCTGTCCGCTTACGTGACATGGAGCTCCTCTGGAGGAAAGATGAATCCGAATATATCATTATTCACAGTTACATGGACAAAGGAAGCCAGGAGCGGTCAGGGAAAGGCTACGAGGGCCGGACAGAGTTGTTCCCCCATGAGTTCATCAGGGGAAACCTCTCTCTGAAGCTGAAGAGCCTGAGGGTGAAGGAAGCTGGAAATTACCAGTGCTTTGTCAGAAGTGCAGAAGGAAGCTACGAGGCCCTCACTGAGCTCCAGATAGAAGGTGAGATGCAGTTGTGGGCACTCCAGGGTCTTCTCGAGCAGTGAGCATTGCCTACATAAGCTTGGGAAGGTAGGCTACAGGTAGGGCATACAGGCCTCTGTAGGAATACATGACTTGCATGACTCTGATTTAATCATTAACCCAAAAAAGGGTTGCAAGACTCAACACAGGATAAAGTGAAAACGAGAAAAGTGGTCTGGGATGAGGGAGGCAACTCTGGCCAGGAGGAAACCTCTAACATCAATCCTGCTCCATAGCTAAGCGAATACTCCAGCAGCAGCCAAAAAAGGAGGGAGAGCACAAGGTTGGGTAGGGATGTCCTCACCCCAAGTACTACATTATCTGCACCTACTCTCCTCTTACTGCAGCTACTGCACCTGTGCACATTTCTCTGACGGGACCTGAGGGATCAGGGCTGGGGCTGTCCTGCAAATCCACTGGATGGTTCCCCGAGCCAACGGTCCGCTGGCTCAGGCTGGATGGGCAGGCCCTGGCAATGCAGCCAGTGACCACCATCACGCAGGACCAGCAGAAGCTCTACACTGTGCAGAGCCACATCACTGTCCCTGGA